GCTCCTGGGTATCCTCACTCCCTCCCTCCTCCTTCTTCTTGTCCGTCTTCAGTTCCTCCTGTCCCACCGTCCACAGCACCCGTGGGGGCGGCCGGGTCATGCCCTCTGACCTGACCTCTGACCCGACGACCCTGCGCGACCCAGGGGTCGGCCCCTCCTCTGCAGAATCCTCCGGCAAAGTTTCCAGCTGGGAAGGTTTCTCGGTTGAAGCCATCCGGCGTAACATGTGGACGAGATTCTCCCCCTCCTTTGCCGGTAATTCGATACCGCGGGACGACAGATAACGGTCCGCGGAATGGGACCTTCTCATTGGCCGAGGCTTCTCCTTTGATCTTTTCCGTAAATCTTCTGTTGAGTCGCTCTTTTTGATGGATTTTGGTGACAATTTCTTTGTTTTATCTTCGGACCGAGAACGGTCACCCTCGAAAGAGCGTGACTTTCTTAAGTGGGGAGGCCTGAGGGTCCTTTCTCCCTGGGTCTTCCCTCCCTCCTTTTCCTCTCTCTTTTCTTCCCTCCTTCCTCTGCGAGGACTTGGACTCCGCGGCCGCCGTTTGGGCGACCTCTCCTGACCTTTCGGTTTGTCCCATTCTCTCTGTAGGGGTGGGCTTAGCGGTGGACTAAGGGGGTTTTCATCACTATCTGATAACGAAGGTCTGCGGATGACCAGCTGTGGAGGTTTGGGGATGTCCCGTTTCTCTGGTTTCTTTGGTAACCTGTCCGCTGCAGTACCGGGTGGTGGTTGTAGGGGGCGTCTCCCGGGGATAGGGGAGGGCCCGCGATCACTGTCGGTGTCTACTGTGTCAGCCTGGGGATGGGAACAATTATGATATTACTGAGAAGTAGGATGGAATACTGAGAAGAAGGATGGAAGACAGAAAACAGAGACATGATGGAAAAATGAACAGGGCATTAATTGAATGATGGAATTTCATAGTAATTACTGTAACAGTTACTGTAATACAATGTATTGGTAGCATTGGTTATATCATTGTCTTTTCTTGCTTTCTCAACAGTCCCATTTTTTCTGACAGTCTTAACTTTTTCATTACACAAAACAATACTTCTGTACCAGAAAGCAAACAACAGGTAAACTTTATTCCCTTCGAGGTACAATGCCTGCAGCTGGTATCCACTGCTATATATGAAACATACCAAGAATCTACCTCAATCTCCAAGCAGATCTTTTGATGGCCACAAAAGACAGTTACTGTATCAAATTGGCCAGGCAGTATCCTTCGGTGGCTAATGGACACTCCTCTGGCCCCTGGATACTGCCTTGCCACCGTATGATCTACTTGGAGATTGAATCTACAACTTACAGGAGCGTGTATACAATGTGATAACCAGCCCGTCTGTGTCCCTACCTCAGATGTGAGAGCCTCGATGTCTGTGGACTCTGCCTCTGATGAGAGCGGTGAGTCATGGTCGTTCATTAACGGGACGGAGTTACAACTTACAGGAGAGTCTTTAGTTTACCATACAGGTTAATAATAAACAGTTTACAGTTTAATAACAATCCCCTCTATCTGTGTCCCTACCTCAGATGTGAGAGCCTCGATGTCTGTGGACTCTGCCTCTGATGAGAGCGGTGAGTCATGGTCGTTCATTAACGGGACGGAGTTACAACTTACAGGAGAGTCTTTAGTTTACCATACAGGTTAATAATAAACAGTTTACAGTTTAATAACAATCCCCTCTATCTGTGTCCCTACCTCAGATGTGAGAGCCTCGATGTCTGTGGACTCTGCTTCCGATGAGAGTGGTGAATCGCTGTCGTTTGGGCCGCGCTTGATGCCGAGAGACTGGGACCCTCCCGCCGCCGACAGGACCTGGGAGATCGGCCGCATCTTCAGCGGAGCTCCAACGGAGATCAACGATTTCTGAACAGGTGATAAAATTATGCTTTTGAATTACTTTTAAACATTAGATCATGGTATGCTGTCAGGCTGACACTTGGTACATGTCATAAAAATTAGACAGGACCTGCGAGATCGGCCGCATCTTCACCAACCGAGATCAGAGATTTCTGAACGGGTGAGAAATATGTTCTTGTTTTAATCATTGTGACCTAATACTATTATGATAATTTAAAAGTTCAATGCTAAAGGCTTAATGGCCCGCCCTGAGGTGTCCAAAATGTATATGGTGAGATAATACCTGGTAAAGTGGGATAACCACCAAATAAACCACTTAGTGTCCTGTCAACTGTATAATGGTACCGTCCAAAAAGTGGTCGGTTATTCTAAGAGCCAACCATTTTTTTTCATTATTCACCACTTGTGATGTTACAGATGTTACAAACCCAAGACTACTTACCTGCCATTTCCGTCTGGAGTGGAAGAACTTGAGACGATCTGCGCTGATCTTAGCTGCTGTGTCTTTAGAAACTGGCGTCTTGGATCAAAAATACAGAAAAATGTCACTCACATTACTGCAAAAACTGCTAGAAAACTACAAAAAAGTTAGAATTCATTTTGCTGCAAAAGTGTATTCCCAACACCTGGTCATATGGTGCTAGAAAAGATTAGGATTACTTTTCAAGAGTTCCAAGACTGTACGAAAGAACCTTCACCTTGATCCAGACGTCTTCCAGACACTGACTTGCCGTAGGCCTCTTCCTGTGGAGTAAGAAGATGCCAGGTCTTTACTTCAAGACATGTGCAATACTTAAAAAACCATTAAATGAAGGTCCAAAATACTAGAACATCTGATTCAATCTACCAGTAGTGCATGTTAAATCTGAATAGACAATGTACACTAAAGTAAACTATATATCACTGTCTAACATCTCTATCTATCATCTACTTAACATCTCTAACTATCTATATATAGTATATAATGTACTTCGTTACTATTATTATTTATTTATTTCAAACACCAAAAGCAAACCTTGCAGCAGGGATGAGAATCCCTGAATTGAAAGAGTTTGCGTACAGAAAAAAAAGTTACACTAGGCAAGGCAAACACTATATACACACCCTCATATACACTATAATACATAAGAAATTTGTACCAAGCAAAAAACTGTATACAGATGAGGTAACATTACTAAAAACATTATGTAATCGTAAGACAAATGAAGATTGGATCTTAAACGGTTTCTATGATTAAGACGTACTTAGGATCGACCACGAGCATCTTGGTGATGAAGTCCTTGGCCTCGTTGGAGATGTGGTTGAAGATTTTCTGGTCGAATGCCCAGCGTCCGGCCTTCACTCGCGTGTAGGTCTCCTTGTCGTTGTTACCCATGAAGGGGGACACACCACTCAGCCTACACAAAAAACAACACTCATGGTCATTCCAACAAGTACAGTCAAACCTGCCAAGGTGACCACCTCTTCAAGCTGGCCACCTGGCCATGGTGACCACTTTTCCTCCATTGACGATGATTCCTTCTGATTATGCAAATAGGATCCTCATTTGTATTATATTTATATTATAATATTGTATTATAATATTGTATTATATAGTTGATCATATTCTCCATCAAAAGACAGCCTTATCTTAACAAAGAAAGCCATTCTATCATTTCCTCATAAATTATGCAAAAGAGGTCCTTATTTGAATACGTTATGTTTAATGATGTTCACCTTCACTTAACTTTCAAATACCCCAAGTATGAAATTCTACAGTTAGCATTATGGAATTATAACATTTTCTCATTAATTATGCAAATTAGGTGTTAATTTACATAATCAATATCTGCCTGTGTTTCTCTCGTTCTCAATTACATGTCAAAAGCTTGAATAGTCCTATAATGTAATGAAGCTGATTTATAGAATTTCTCCATTAATTATGCAAATTAGATCCAGATTTGCATAATTGATAACGTATTCAAATAAGGACCTCGCATAATTATGTCAAGCGTCACTTGAGCTACCTACATACCAAAAATCACGACGATCTGTCCACCAGTTCTTGAGTTATCCTCTTTTGAATATTTTCAAACAGATAGCCCTGCAGTTCCTGAGCAAGCCGCTAGGGGGCCCAAACTCATGTCACTTCTTCCCCAGCATGAGAGCTACCTACCATCCAATTTTCGTCACCCAAGCATGTCTAGATCATGAGATATCAAAACCGGAAGTTTAGCTGCAGTACCATAACAAGCCGCTAGGGGGTCCAAAATCTTATCATTTCCAGGTTTCATCAAGACCTACCCACCTACTAAATATCAAGATAATCCATCTAAGCTTTCTCGAGTTATGCTGTTGACAGACACACAGACACACACACAGACACACGGCCAGGAAAACATAACCTTCGTCAATTCTTGGCGAAGGTAAAAATAGGGTCAGTAATAGGCTAGGGGAGTGAGTTGTGGTATGGGCAACATTTCACTTTCACCTTAACTCTGCAGGCAAATGGACTCTATTGTGGTCAAACTCAGTGGCTTCCTCTGTAAAAATGAAAGCGTCCCGGATGCTCTGGACGCCGTCCCTTGCCATCCGAACCCGCCCAGACCCATCCCAGACCGTCCCCCCGTCCCAACGTACGTTCAAGCCGTCCAAAAATTGACGCTTCGGGCGCCTAGACCCCGTCCCAGAAACCGGGGGTGCCTGACCGTCCCTGGGCGTGGGCCTGGGCGCCTCACGTAAGCCGGACTTAATTGATGTCAGGCGATGGAAGCGGGTGCCGGGCGCGCACGGCAGGGTTTCGGTCCTTGCACATGCGCACATTTTACTTACAAACGACCGTTAACGGTTTAGAGAACAGTGTTCAGTTCGTGTCCAGGTTTTTGTGCCTATTTCTTCGATTGCACGCACGTTTGGGGGATGGATCCACTACTCAGCAGCGGCGCTTTTTCTCCCGAACATTGTACACAGTTAATAGTTTATCAAACGAGGACCGTTCCCGATGAAGAATGGATATTCGTGGCGGGGCAACAGATGCAGAAAAGCGGTAGAAAAACAACGATTGTGATGTCAACAAACGAGTTTATCTTTCGGTTTTTCTGTTGAAGAACAGGTAAGTGAACAAACATTTTATGTGGTCATAATTGTTACGATGTGACAAAGAACAAAAATTATGTCAACGATGTCGCCACGTGCACCCTCCCAACACGTTTCCAGCACGCTTCTGGAAATTGCTTTGATTCCTTAAAATAAATAGACTCACCACAAGATTGTAGAATACATGTATACAATACCTGACGTTTTAATAAAGAAAGATGATGCAGTGAAAATCTCCAGTTATCCTCAACGTCTGGCACTGAACTGTCGTCGTCCGTTGTTTATGTTTTGAATGCGTGGCGGGGCTGCCCTCCCCACACGCAAATGAAAATGGTGTTTCATTTAGCGTATTTATCAACGCACTACAGAATGCACGTATATGATAATGTGTACGATGTGTAAATAAAATTATTGTTATTTTAGAATGTACAGTTAAATTATTTCTTAGACAACAGATAACTTAAAATATTTTGCACGTACCCGTTTATGTATGTCTGCGGTCGTCACATGACTTATCTGGGGCAAAGGTCGATGAACCCTGCTGCGTCGATATCAAGAAAGCTGTACACTTTGCGGAGAATATTACGACGAAAATCGTTCAATTTACGTTAGATCAAAGTTTGAGAGCCTTATATATAATAATTAAATAGCTAATAGCAGCCTGTAACCAGACCACACGCAAAAATGTGCGTATCCATACCAGATTTAGTTTATTTATCTAAGCCAATCCGTGACGGGACGCCGTCCAGAGCCCATTTGCGCTGTCGGAAAACCTGTCCGTAAAAGCGCCCGTGCCCGTCCCAGAGCCCGCCCAGCCCCGTCCCGGAGGCCATTAGCCCGTCCCAGAGGACGTCCGTACCGTCCCAGAAGGCACCCGAACCCGTCCCAGAAGCCACCCGAACCCATCCCAGAACCCACCCGAACCCGTCCCAGAGCCCGTCCCTGACCCCGCCCGGGTGCCCATCCCGGTCCCCGTCCCTGAGCCCATCCTGGACCCCGTCCCCGACGTCGTCCCGGACGCCGGGATGGGCGTCCAAGCGGCCATTTTGGACCATCCGGACCATCCCCGGCCGTCCAGGCTAGGTTTTTTGAGGCGCCCATGGGTCACAAAGGCCGCCCCGGACGGGTCCCCATCCAAGACAGGATGCCATCCCGGATGGGCGTCCGAACCGTCCGGGACGCCTAAATTTTCACAGAGGTTACCATTCTCTCTACATTGCTAAATTTTGTTATAAATATGTTTCAACCTGTTCTGTAAGTCTGCTGGAGACTAGTCAAACTTGAAGAAAAGCAAAAAATCTCAATTCAGTTTAGCTTGCCAGAGAACTAGTCTGAGCTAGTCTTCCATTGACCCTTTCTGTTTCATGCACAGCTACCATTATGATATTATCTTCCTAAAGTTAGAATAGATAAGGATTCCAAAAGCTGAAGAATTCCTTGTTGACCGTAAGATTGTGTCAGACTTACAAAACGTAAAGAAGAACCCCTGTGCTCCAGATGTCTGTCGTCAGGGCAACGGGTTCCTTGGCAACAGTTTCCGGGGCGACAAACTCGGGTGTCCCAAACCTGCAGGTCTCGGGCGTGTCCGGGGTCAGTTGCCGCGACAACCCGAAGTCACACAGCTTCACCTGCCCTGCCTCTGACTTGGTCAGGAGAATGTTCTCAGGCTGGTTTTAAGATAAGGGAAAAGGAAAAGGGGAAAAATTAGGTTTTTAATGACTTTTGTGTCTTTTTGCTGTCTAAGGCATGGCAATACTGGTCTACCTTGGCAGATCTTGTACCTTAGCAATATATACTAGTACCACGAAGATACTGTTTACATTTACCTTTTCTCATTTTGAGTTCACATTAGATAAATTTTTGTCAATTCAGATTGTTTCAAGAAATCAGTACCAGATAATATACTTTTTCCGGACTGTGACCCTTTCCAGTAGCATCTCAGGGGAGCGACAACAGCCGGGATTCAAACTCCCAACCTCTTGGTCCAGAGCCAGGGTCGCTAACCGCTGGACTACACACGCTACTATCCATTAGCACAAATGGTTTTCATTACTGAAGTGTGGAAATGTGTTACCTTGATGTCTAAGTGGACGATGTCCTTGCTGTGTATGTACTGCAGTGCCTCTAGCAGCTGTGACAGGTACTGCACCATGTCGGCTTCACACAGGTCTGGTACCTTCACAAGGTGCTCCAACAGTTCTCCCATAGCAACACTGAGGGGGGGTTAAGGTTCTTCACACACTCTTCTTCTCCTTTTTAACTAGGCCTAAAGACCACTTCTGACCATTACTGGTAAAGACACTGAACTATGGTAAGTTGCAACTGCATGCCACAGGCAAAACCGGTCGTGTAAGGGACTGAATAAAAGTTCTAAACGGGAAATATGCGGCTCCAGATGTCTTACTGAGGGACAACTGTGTGTGCAAGATGTCAGTTAGCTTGAGGAATGAATCCCCTCGATTTTATACTTATCCAAGAGAGAGTTCCAAGGTGCTTCAGACTTCTCACACACTCTTGTGGACAAGTTTGCTCAATGCTAGGCCCTAAGACTATTTCTAGGCCCTGAACTAAGTTGAACTAAGGCGGGTATACAGGTAGGTGACTATGCTAGGACAAGGAACTGATCAAGTAGCTAATGCCTCCCGCCTAAAACCCAGCGTTTTTCCAGGAAGGATACTATTCCATCACCATGACAACGAACTTGGTCTCCAGGAATGCTTCCGCCAGTTGGACAATCCCAGCATGCTCCAGTTTGGCCATGACTGTGACCTCTCGCTGGATGTCGGCCTTGCGGTGCGGCTTGTAGCGGATGTACTTTGCCGCAAACTTCTTTCCCGTTTTGCGGTTGGTCACGCGCTTGATGACGCCAAAGGCGCCTCTGGAATAACAGGACAGATTTAGCAAGTTTAAAGGATGCACAAGTAGGAAGTTGGAGTTGATTCAGAGCCTGAAATGTATTTTTTTTTTTGCAAATCAGAAAAAAAGGGAAGCAGGCAAATCCGAGAACCAACAAATTAAATTGGTGTGGCCTAAAATTGGACAAATTTGTGGATGCTGTTTTCTAATACCTCAATATGTGTTACGATCTGTTTAATTTCTCTTGTTGAAGTGCTCAGAACATTGCAGATACCATGACCAGGAGCTTTTACAGCAATACAGAATTGTTACGCTGATCTATGTGTTAAAGCCTTAGTCCCTGTGACTTACTTGCCCAGCTCCTCGTGTATTCTGTACTGTTCCCGGATGGTGTGGATTTTTGTCCAACAAGTCTCCTCATCTTCTGTCTCTGTGGACTCAGGCACTGCAGATTGCACAAAAATACATTAACATTTTGTTTTTCAATGATGTCTGACATGTATAAGGTTCAACAGGGTAACTTAACCATTGCTGAAAATTGTTTCTTAATATAAATCAAGTGACATCTTCCTAAGTTCCAAGTACATGAGACTCTGTGACTTGCATTTATTTCTAAGATATCTTGCTAAGGACACAGTAGCTTGAGACTATATTATACAGTTCTAAGACACCTTGCCTGCAGACTAGAATATCTTAGGGGCTTGTTAGCAAGAGACAAACTGATTTGGTCTGTAAGTTGTTAATCTATGGCTGATTTACAGCTAAGAACAGTCAAATCATTGTAATATATATTATATGTTTTCGTTATTATCATTGCCATTATAATTTATTTATTGTTTTCGTTATTATCATTGCCATTATAATTATTTATTGTATAATTTTTGTATGCTAATGTTATTATTCGTATGTGATTGTTGTATTGTGCTGTGTAATACAGGGCCCCGTTGAAAAGCAGTGCCATCACTGAATTGGGTTACCCTGTATAAAAATGACGGAAATAAAAAATAAATAAATATATTACCTGGAGACACAGTGACTTGTGCCTTGCAGGAGACTTCTCCTGCAATGTTCTTAGCCCTACATCTCACAGAGTTAGTAACTAATGAGACTGAATACATTCTGACACCTTTTTTTACCAAGAGGGAGTATAACATGAGTCCTACAATTTCTATCTTTCTAAGGACACAGTAACTTGAGACCAGTAAGTACATTTCTAAGACCAGCATGAAAGTTCACCTGAGTGGGAAAAATACATGAAGAAAGTTAAACTGTTCTCCAACTCAAAAACAAAATTAACTCACCAGAAATTTTTGACTGAATCACTCAGTCTTCATCAGCTTTATGGCCCAAGTGCTGTGGACTTTTAGCCACGTGTGACGTCTGGTGAGTTACGCCAAAAAGTAGTTACTCAAGCAACTGGATATGATTTTGAAAACGTCAGACGTTTCAGCTAGTATCCACTAGCTTTCGTCAGTGACTGTAACTACTTTTTGGCGTATCATATTACCTGGATGTATAACCTTCATCGACGTGTCTGGTGAGTTACTTTCTTTTTTAGTTGAACAGTTTATTTTTCGTCATCATTTGTAAGACACCTTGCAGGAGAACTTAATTGAGACGTATAATACTTGACTTATATATAATACTTGACACAGTAACTTGAGACTACATGTAGTAAGTTTGTAAGACACCTTACCAGGAGAAACAGTGACTTGTGCCTTGCAGGAGACTTCCCCTGAGATGTTTTTAGCCGTGCAGGTGTAGACTCCTGTGTCTGACAGGACTGCGCTGTTGATAGTCAGGACAACCTCCTCCTCGTTACGGGTCCTTACAATTCGCTTCTCCTGGGGAAGTTCCTCAGAACCCTGAAAACACATTAAAACAGTACTATAGTCTGCAAGTTCTTCAAAGTTAACATTTCTAACAGATTCCAGAACATGCATGAAGTCTAGACTTCTAGTAGTGTATACTTAATATGCCAATTTAATTTTTTTCATGAGCCTTTTGATGTCAAAAAATGATTTGCGACAGATCTCCTGGTTACAAGCCCATGTTCTCTTGACCCCCTAAAAAATAAGATAATGTGAGGTTGTTCGATATACACCTTCAGTGAGATGATTTCAGGAAAGGTTTGCCATGTTAAAGTAAGATGTCATCTTGACCTCTTGGTCAGAGCTTCAATGTTCTTAAAACCCCTACAAGAGCCTTAAAATGATGTCAGGCTGTTGGATACACCCCTTGAGAGCCTTAAGACAATATCTGGTTGTTAGGTCCCCACCTTTAGTGCCTTAAGACACTACCTGGTTGTTTGGTACCCACCTTGAGCCATGTGATGTTGGGGAAAGGCTTGCCGAACAGTCTGACCTCCAGTCGGCCCGTCTCTCCCACATACATCTCTACATCCTCCATAATGTCCTCAAACTGGGGAGACTCTGAGAAAAAACAACGGAAGGAAAATCTATGTGAACATCAGAGTCTCTTGGAGCCTGGTCATAGGCCGAACTAATTTTAAATGTTGGTTCTTATATCTCCACGCCCTCCATAATGTCTTCAAACTGGATTCTGAGAGCAATGGCGCGTGGGGTCGTGTGGCGCAGCGGTAGCGCGTTCGGCTTGGGACCTAGAGGTCCCGAGTTCGATCCCCACCCATGTCACCGATCTTGTGTCCTTGGGAAAGGCACTTTACACGACTTACCTCACTTCACTCAGGTGTAAATGAGTACCTAGCTTCGGTTAGGGACGTCCCTCGGATAGGACGTTAAATGGAGGTCCCGTGTTTGGGGAGAGCCACACCTCCAGCACGCTAAAGAACCCGCCACACTTATCGAAAAGAGTAGGGGACCTTCCCGGTGTGAGTGGATCAAACATTACAGTCTTGTGTACGTCTTCTACGTACCGTGCTTGGAGTCCTCAGCCTATTGAGGTTAAGCACGTAATATGGAAGAAGAAGAAGAAGAAAAAGATGGCAGGGAAAGCACTTAAAAATGATAGCCTCCTGACAGTGATAGCTGTAAATGTGCAGCTGGGCCTTGGTTCAGTGATCCTAGCAAGACTTGTTAGTTTTTTACCTGCAAGTCAGAGGCACATAGAGTGAGGAAAAAAAGCTGCCTTTCCTGAGGACACAACAGTGGTTACTGTCAGAGAGTCGAACCCTGAACCCTTAGATCCTATAACTACACCAATGCATTATAGAACAGAGAACATAATAGAACATAATAGAACAGAGAAAGCTCCGAACTGTAACGGCCTTCAAAAACTCATTGTAATTATATTGTATTTGTACTGCTGTATGGCTATTATGTGCTATGTACTGTGTTGTTATCATTGTATTGTTTCTGCATTTTTATTGTACCCAGTTCTACCTGAAAAACAGGTCAAATGACCTGAGTGTATCTTCTGGTTAAATAAATAAACTGAAACTGAAACTGAGCATTGAGCAGAGCGCCCTGCACTACATGTAGATAGGCACGGTAAAAGTATAAAAGGAGGAGTGGTCCGATCTCTGTCCTTCTTGATAAAGACTGAATTAAAGTCGAAACCGGTCGAATACCGTCTCTAGTCTGTCATCTTCCCATCGCTACGAATGATGTCTACACCACTGCATTGATGTTTACCTGCGAGCCCAAGGCACATGGAGCAGGCCATGGCTCCATGCTGGTTCTCTGCTTTGACCTGGTACTGTCCCATGTCCCTCAGAGACACGCTGTGAACCTTCAGACTCAGAGATTCGAACCCTGAACCCTTAGATCCTAACCACACCACTACATTGTACTTTACCTGCAAGTCTGAGGCACATGGAGCAGGCCATGGCTCCGTGCTGGTTCTCAGCTTTCACCTGGTACTGTCCCATGTCCCTCAGAGACACGCTCTGAGAATCAAACCCTGAACCCTTAGATCCTACCTACAGTAGTACTTTACCTGCGAGTCCAAGGCACATGGAGCAGGCCATGGCCCCGTGCTGGTTCTCTGCTTTGACCTGGTACTGTCCCATGTCCCTCAGAGACACGCTGTGAACCGTCAGACTTAGAGATTCGAACCCTGAACCCTTAGATCCTAACTACTGAAGTTTACCTGCGAGCCCGAGGCACATGGAGCAGGCCATGGCTCCGTGCTGGTTCTCAGCTTTCACCTGGTACTGTCCCATGTCCCTCAGAGACACGCTCTGAGAATCAAACCCTGAACCCTTAGATCCTACCTACAGTAGTACTTTACCTGCTAGCCCAAGGCACATGGAGCAGGCCATAGCTCCGTGCTGGTTCTCAGCTTTCACCTGGTACTGTCCCATGTCCCTCAGAGACACGCTCTGCACCGTCAGGCTGGACTCTCCCGTCCGCGCATCAAACACAGGCTGGTGTTTTTCTGCTCTCTGCAAGCAAACACAAACTTGTCAACAACTGTATTCAACTTTAAGTTAAAGCTGTCAGAGAAACCTCCACGTGGCTTATTCCTGAACATCGGCTACTGTTTTCTTCTCTCCAAAACAGCAGACGCCAACGGAAACAGTGAACAACAAAATTTAACAAAATGAACTCCTCTAAACTAGCACAAGTCTTAACCTTGTTACTCTAACCTAGCGCTAGAGAACAACACATCTGTCTAGCAATGAAGTACTAGTACTCTAACCTAGCGCTAGAGCTGACCTTGTATGACCTTGCCCATCCAAAGCCACTGCACGGTGCTGACCGCAGGTCGGGTGCTGAGCATGCATATGCAGGAGAAGATGGCTGCCTAGCAATAATCCTAACCTAGCGCTAGTGCTGACCTTGTATGACCTTGCCCATCCAGAGCCACTGCATGGTGCTGACCGCGGGCTGGGAGCTGAGCATACCTAGCAATTACCTACTGTAACCTAGCGGTAGTCCTGACCTTGTATGACCTAGCCCATCCAGAGCCACTGCACTGTGCTGACCGCGGTCGGGTGCTGAGCATACCTAGCAATTAGCTACTGTAACCTAGCGCTAGTCCTGACCTTGTATGACCTAGCCCATCCAAAGCCACTGCACGGTGCTGACCGAGATGAACAACCTAGCGCTAATGTTACTCTAACCTAGCGCTAGTCCTGACCTTGTATAACCTTGCCCATCCAGAGCCACTGCACGGTGCTGACCGCGGGCCGGGTGCTCAGCATACAGGAGAAGACAGCTGCCTAGCAGTGAATCATCTCACCTAGTGCTAGTTGCTGCTCTAACCTAGCGCTAGTCCTGACCCTGCTGTTGTAACCTAGCGCTAGTCCTGACCTTGTATAACCTTGCCCATCCACAGCCACTGCACGGTGCTGACCGCGGGCCGGGTGCTCAGCATGCAGTTGAAGACGGCCGTCCCCCCCTCCAGGGTGAAGCAGTCCTCGGGCAGGCTGAGGAACTCGGGCGCTCCGGGCGGCCCGCGGCGCTTCACGGAGCCCTGCCGTACCAGACCTGGTCTCCCCAACACATCCTCATCCTCAGAGTCCGAGCCTGAAGCAGGGGGAGGATTTGGCACAGGTTAGACTTACATGACTGTACATGTGCACTGATATGTTAGACATGAAGCTAAAAGTCTCAATTGCATGGAAAATCTTTGGTTGTAGGAAAATCTTAGTAAAGACTCCTTAAGTCAAAAGGTACAGTTCCACTGGTAAGTTAGAGTGTGGCTAAACTTTAATTCTCAAACTCTGGTAATTCTGGTAAAACTGCAGGTCTCCCCAACACATCCTCAGAGTCAGAGCCTAAAGCAGGAGGATTTTACACAGGTAAGTACTTACTGCAAGTTAGACCTGAAGCATTGTGAAACTTGTGGGGGGGGGGGAAAATCAAAATTAAGTATTTAGATTGTATACCTGCACCAGTCTGTTTTCACAGGCAACCGTTTAAAGTTTCATAACCTGAAGTAGGAAAAGCATCTGAACTAAGCTGCAATGCTAAGTATTTGTCCCTTCCCCATAAGAATTGGTCTCCCAAACATTTCTGCATTTAAGTTTTACATTGTTCAAATAAAGTTGTTGGGACACTTAAGCCTAAATTTGAAAAAAAGACCCATATTTTTTAGGTCTAAAACCTGAAACGACATTTTTGTCCTCTAGGTTTGGGGATAACTACAAAGAACCCAGTCCGTACCCTCGTGTATGTTGGAAGTCTGAGCCTGAAGCAGGGGGATTTTACAAACAAGGAAGTTACAGAATCTGGTGGTAAGTCAGACATAAAGTCCCACTCGCATGGAAAACCTTTATTTGTTAAACGTTAAGTTGTTGTGGATAATTGTTACATGTAGTGAAGACTACCCAGCACATACTCTGACTCTGAGCCTGTATATCACACATAAAAGATGTGCCAGTAGGTTTGACATGAAGCTAGTCTCAATGGGGTAACTCTGGGAACGACCAGACCATACTTTGCAGGTTTCTGTGTCAAAAACAGTAATATTGAAATGAAGTATCAAGACTAGAGCTGTGTACCTAAACAAATTTTAGGTGCAGGTACAGGTACAGGTACACAGGTTTAGGTACAGGTCCGGACCTGAACCTGTACCTGAACAATTCGACCAATTTATATGCTCTTCTGAACTCCTTCAATAACAAAAAAAAAAACATAAATAAACTTGATAGTTAAGGTTTATTCTTTGTTTATGACGAATGCTCAGATAAAATATAGACTATATATATGTTTTTGTTTTCATGAACACACTGTCCTTACACAGGGACCCATTGTTAACCAGCTATTTACACATTTGAGGTCACAAATAGGCATAAAATTGGTGTGAAATTGTTTAGGTACAGTACCGGTACTGAGGGAGTAGGTATTTTGGACCTGTACCTAATCAATTTTTCTGGTACAGTATCGGTACTGCGTACCGGTACACAGCTCTACTCAATGGGGTAACTCTGGGAACGACCAGACCATACTTTGCAGGTTTCTGTGTCAAAAACAGTATATTGAAATGAAGTATCAAGACTATACCTGCATCTCTTATGTTTTTTGTAGGCACCTGCTATGACCTGCTGTTCACAAAGGGAGAAAATGTCTGAACCAGGCCGTACCCTCGTGTATGTTGGAGGCCTTGCTCTCCTCTGACGGCTCGCTGACGCCAAAGTCGTTCTCGGTGCTGACGCGGAAGAAGTAGACACAGTCCTCCTGCAGGCGGTCCACCAGGTAAGACGTCTCACGCACATTCTTAGCCTTCACCTGCCACCGGGAGTCCTGCAAGGAAGGAATTAGAAACTTTCTTAAAGACTTTAGAGTTGTTACAGTTTTACCACCAGGTAAGATGTCTCACGCACGTTCTTAGCCCTCACCTGCCACCGGGAGTCCTGCAAGGAAGGAGTTAGAAACTTTCTTAAAGACTTTAGAGTTGTTGTTACAGTTTTACCACCAGGTAAGACGTCTCACGCACGTTCTTAGCCCTCACCTGCCACCGGGAGTCCTGCAAGGAAGGAGTTAGAAACTTTCTTAAAGACTTTAGAGTTGTTGTTACAGTTTTACCACCAGGTAAGACGTCTCACGCACGTTCTTAGCCCTCACCTGCCACCGGGAGTCCTGCAAGGAACCAGCAGGAATTAGACACTTTGTGTCACAGTCACAGGTTCAATCCCCAAGGTTGGATCTGGACATGCACCCAGACATTGTGCCCTTGGGAAAGGCATTTAACATGCATTTCCCCCCTCAGTTAGAGGGATCCTGGGCCCTACTAGGGTTTGGGTTGGTGTTAGGAAGAGCATCCAGCCGTAAAAATCTTGCTTCAAAAAAGGACTTGTACTTGGTGCAAGCACGTCTAACCCCCGGTTGGGGAAAAATGACGTTAAATTCGATCAAAAAAAAAATTAAACACTAGAAAGGTAATAGTTGCAAAGCAGATGCATAATGTTTACATTCACAATTGGTCAACAAACTTCTGCTCGGTTTATTGTTGCTCAAACACATTCATATATGATATATGGTAAGCAGCCACTCTAGCTCTGTCCTGCTACAACATGAAAACTAACTCCACAAGATGCCTGCTACAGCACCAGTTACCATGGTGACAGACATCTAGTCCAGGTCATTGACTTGTTTGGAGAAGAAGAAGAGGAAGAAGAAAACACAGCAAACCCAATATGTTTTCCTTCTTTGAGGGTGAATATAATAAACAAACAAACAACTCTGGTCTCAAGGTTGACTTGCCACAATGTGCTGATTCTTAATAAACAAACAAACAAACAAACCTCTGACTCCCTGAACTCGATGATATATGAGATGGGGCTGTCAGAGTCCTGTTGCGGGGGTGGGGGGTTCCACGACAGGATAAGGCTTGTTCCTGTACGGCTGGAGATGCGAGGCATCCCGTATGGCGGCTTTGGAGCAACTGAGACAGAAAAAAAAGAGGAAACAAACTTTCTAAGGTGTCGTAAATGAAAAAAAAGTAATATACTATTATTAAACGTAGCCTGAGAACTGGAGATGCATGACTTCCCGTATGATGGCTTTGGAGCAACTGGGGTTGAAGTGGAAACAAACTTTTTAAGATACCACCAAGATAAGGACAAATTCATTGTTTTTTTTTTAGATTTCACTGGAAAAACACAATTAAATAAAGGCTGAGAACTGGAAACATGAAGTATGGGGGCCTCTGAGCAACAGTTTTACTGATACAGAAATTCACCACCATTTCAGCACCAGGGACATTGCAGGTAGAAATGTAATAAAAAAACTCTGAGTAATTCAAGAAGAGATCTTGAAGAGATCTACTATATGAAGCAACAGTAATCCCTGAAGTATGGGGGCTTCGGAGCAACTGAGACAGAAATGCACCACCATTTCAGCACCAAGGACATTGCCCACAAAGAACTGAATACCACCAGTAAGGCTAAACTGATTAGATTTTTTGGTTGTACAAAATGTACTAAACAGGAAAAACACAAGGAAAGAAAGGTTGAGAACTGAAGACATGCAGTTTTCCATATGGGGGCTTCAGAACAACATGTTTAAAGAGAAGCAAATAAACCATCAGGATATTAAAGGCCACATGAATTGAATTTTTAGTGCTTGGATTTTGACAAATTTCTTCAACCGGAAAAACACAATGAAACAAAGGCTGAGAGTTACGCGTTTTTCCATAAGGGGGCTTCGGAGCAACTGGGACAAAAAACCACCATTTCAGCACCAAGGACATAACCCACAAAGAGTTGAATATCATAGGTAGAAACATAACCTGCAGGGAAAATAAGGAAAACAAAAACATGAGAAAACAAGTCCTACTTTCCCTGCTGCGGCTCTTCTTGATCTGTGGTTTCGCGTGCGGCGATCGGGGCGGAGTCTGCTCTCTATCCTCCTCTGTAACACCTGAACAAAACAAACAAACAAACAAACAAGCTGAAGGTTGTGCTGACCAATGAAACATTGGCGGACTTTGTCACTGATATTTTGGGACATTTTTTTTACTTCTTTTGTAAGTTGTAGCTGTATTTCAAACATTTCACTAGGGATATTAGCATATTTGAGATTCACACAGAATATAAGGTTATAGATTGTGTGTCTTGACATGTAATGTTGCCACACATGTAGCAGGGCTGTTTGCTACACAGCCCTGTATTCTCACCTTCTGTCTCCACATGTAACTTTGCCACACATGTAGCAGGACTGTTTGCTACACACTCTCTGTCTCCACATGTAACTTTGCCACACATGTACTAGCAGGACTGTTTGCCACACACCCTCTGTCTGCACATGTAACTTTGCCACACATGTACTAGCAGGACTGTTTGCCACACACCCTCTGTCCCCACATGTAACTTTGCCACACATGTACCAGCAGGACTGTTTGCCACACGCCTTCTGTCTCCACATGTAACTTTGCCACACATGTAGCAGGACTGTTTGCTACACACCTTCTGTCTCCACATGTAACTTTGCCACACATGTAGCAGGATTGTTTGCTACTCACCTTCTGTCTCCACATGTAACTTTGCCACACATGTAGCAGGACTGTTTGCTACACACCCTCTGTCTCCACATGTAACTTTGCCACACATGTACTAGCAGGACTGTTTGCCACACACCCTCTGTCTCCACATGTAACTTTGCCACACATGTAGCAGGACTGTTTGCTACACACCTTCTGTCTCCACATGTAACTTTGCCACACATGTAGCAGGATTGTTTGCCACACACCCCTGCATCCTCACCTTCTGTCTCCACATGTAACTTTGCCACACGTAGCAGGACTGTTTGCTACACACCTTCTGTCTCCACATGTAACTTTGCCACACATGTAGCCTTGCCGGCAGGGCTGTTTGCTACACAAGCGTAGACCCCGATGTCCCCTTTACTGGCACCAGTGATGACCAGGGTAGCCACACCTTCTTCTGTACGAACATCAGGAAAATGATAAGATTTTTTGTGTGTCATTCTGAGTACAAAATGTATATGTAAAAGGTAGATGTAACCCTTTATGTTACAGAATTTCTACTTTCTGGTATTGATGTTAAATTTTGTCTCTGCACTGGTGATGACAGGATAGCTACTCCTTCCTCTTTACAGGAAAAATTATTACGTTTTCTGTACTGATGATTTGAGTATCTTGAAACGTGTACTAGTTCTTTGTAGCTCATAATTTTTGGTTACTGGTTTTCAAGTTGAATTTCATCAGTACATCAAGTTGCACTCAAAAAGTCTTTTGATATCTTATGCACATCAGGTCAGTTTCAGTTTTTCAGGTTAAACTTTCAAGTCCATACAAGACAATGCACAATAATAACAATACAGTATAACACAGAATAATAATCATACAACCATGCTCAGGAAATGTCAGTTCTAATTACGAGTACAATGAGTTTTTGAATGCCTTGAGTTTTCTTTGTTCTTTGGTGAGATGATGCCACAACACTGGACCCTGGTACTACTAGTCCTTTTTAAAAGTTAAAGCATGCCCACCTGCATGTCCTCTGCAAGACATTCTCACCTGTATAAGACATCTTGACCCTTCGTGCCGAGGTCACTTCCCTCTTCTTGTGGAACCACATGACCTTTGGCCTGGGGTCACCTGTAATCTGACACCGAAAGGTCGCAGTCTCGCCCTCTGACACGGCGCAGTTCTGCAGGCGCTGCACGAAGTTCGGGATGACTCCGACTGCGGCGGCTACTGTGGTGGTACTCCCCTCACGACTGGGGACAATATGGGGAAATTGTGTACAGAACTGTGCATATCTATGCCTGAATGGGTTAGGGTTAGGATCAGGCACAGTTCTGCAAAGTTTCCTCGTATCCTAGAATGTAGATTTGCTGCAGGTATAGTTGTGGGATATGCTTGGACTATCCAGAACCATCCTCAGGCATACATGTACCACTAGTATCCAAAACCATACCTAGGTATTACATGTATATGTGTAGACTCTCCAGAACCATACCAAACCATAGTTCTGGATAAAGCATAGTTCTGGATACTCATGGACTATCCAGAACCATACCTGAGCATTGTTCTGGATAAACCATGGTTCTGGATATGTGTAGACTATCCATAACCGTACCTGAGCATATGGTTCTGGATAAATCTTGGTTCTGGATGCCACAAAGACATACCTTTGCCTTGTGATGGCTTTTGATATGCCTGGACTATCCAGAACTCTACCTGAGCATGGTTCTGGATAAACCATGGTTCTGGATAAACCATGGTTCTGGATAAACCATGGTTCTGGATAAACCATGGTTCTGGATAAACCATGGTTCTGGATAAACCATGGTTCTGGATAAACCATGGTTCTGGATAAACCATGGTTCTGGATACACAGGGACTATCCAGAACCATGCCCGACCACAGTTCTGGATAAAGCTTGGTTCTAGATTCCACAAGGATGCACCTTTGCCAGGTAAGGTTCTGGATATGCCTGGAGCATGCCTGACCATAGTTCCGGATAAAGCTTATTTCTGGATTCCACCAGGACATACCTTTGCCGTGTGATGGTTGGTTCCTCCTCGTCCACAAACAGCTCAGCGCTGCAGCTGATTTCCCCGAGCGAGTTGACGGCCTTACACACCACCTCTCCCTCATCGTCCGGGAAAACCTCAGGGATAACCAGCGAGTGCTGGTCGTTCGCCTGGAATATCCGGTACTCCAGAGAATCCTGCACCTCCCTGGAACAGAAAATCACTTGGTTAGCTAGCTCACTCATTAAAATGAGACAAATACGTTGAAGATACAAGCTACAGACTGAGACATTTGATAACTCTCCAGAACTTTCAAATGTTGTTTTGGCTTTATCCTTTATCACCTACATGAAGCCCAACCATCAACCCATCATCATGCCTTTAGATATCAGAGTTATCAACCAAGAATTGAGGTGTTCAAAAACACATATTTTCCAAGAACTATAGTGTAAAGTGGAACTCGTTGCCACCAGTTGAGGTATCAAAACTAGAAACAACCCTTGCAATTAAATGTGCTGTTGGGTGTAACAGGTCGTTCGATGTAAGTTAGTTAGCTGCGCCACGTGCCTGCAAAGCTGGTGTGTTACACCAAAGGGCGGTTATACCGGCTATACTGATACAGAAGCTGGTGTGTTACGCCAAAGGGCGGTTATACCGGCTATACAGATACAGGTACAGATTATACAGGACTGGTACAGAACCCACCTGTTGTGCAGATACCAAGCGACTTTTGGCTGTGGGATCAAAGCGTACTTCCCGACCCTCCATGGCATTGGTATATGCCAAAGGGTGGTTATACCAGCTATACCGACCAATACAGATGCAGATACAGATTATACAGATACAGAACCCACCTGTTATGCAGGTACCAAGCGACTTTTGGCTGTGGGATCCCGATGATGCGACAGTCGAAGCGTACTTCCCGGCCCTCCATGGCGTCCGTATCGTGGAATGTGTGGATGAACTTTGGCGGCATGGCGTGCGTCGTGTCCAGCGTGTACTCCTCTGACACGTGGAGCCTCGCGCTGCAGGACGTTTCTCCGTAACTGTTGCTTGCTTTACAGGTGTACAACCTGTGGCACATCGAGAAATAATTTTATCAGGTTTGTAGAACATAGGATTATATTGTTTTTTTTCTACACAACCAGTATAGTCTGTGAGTGCTAAGCTGCAGTTCCAGGACATGCTGCCAGGGTACTAAACTGATGATGTTTCCCCGTAACTGTTGCTCGCTTTACAGGTGTACAACCTGTGGCACATCGGGAAACAAGCTTGAGTTCCACGACCTCATACCTTCGCTCCTGCAGTTCCAGGACAAGCTGCCAGGGGGACTAAACTGATAACACTTCTTCCTGAACACAATAGCTATCTTCCATGCAAAATTCGTGACGCCAGCATGTCTAGATCATGAGATATCAAAACTACTGCTGCAGTACCTAGGGAAGCCGCCAGGGGGCTCAAAATCTAATCATTTCTAGGTCTTATCAAGACCTACCCACCTACCAAGTTTCATGACAATTTATTTACAGCTTCTTGAGTTATGCTGTTCACAAACAGACAAAGAAAGGGACAAAATTAACAAATGAATAAACAATCCGACACGTGGAGCCTCGCGCTGCAGGACGTTTCTCCGTAACCGTTGCTCGCTTTACACGTGTACAACCTGTGGCACATTGGGAAATAATTTTATCACATTGGTAGAACTCCTTGTGCTTACAAGTAGAACAAGCCATTATTCAGAAAAAGTGGATGTAGCTGTTATGGCCAACCAATGGAGTGGTAGAACATACTATTGGAAATTTTTTTTTACACAAGTAGTAGTCACCTGCTTACATTTTGATGCCTGTCAGACATCTTCCTTACAGCTTCTGACTGGAGTGTTGCTTCTTGCCGTTATATTTAGCTTCTTGCTGCTATGTGTATACTACATGTGTAGGTGCATGCATCTAAAACAAATTTTGGCTGGTGTACAACCTGTGGCACAAATTAATACAGAATCGCCAAAAAACAGTTACTCAAGCAACTGGATATGATTTTCAAAATCATATCCAGTTTCTTGAGTAACTGTTTTTTGGCGTATCGTATTACCTGGATGTCTAACCTTCATCGACGTAATACAGAATCACCCAGACATATTCATATAGAATTGCCTGGACACTCATGTCTGTGTCATTGGATAAAGTAAGAATTTTGGACTCAGAACTAGACAGTGATTAAAGAGGCCATCTACATCCGGACTTCTAGACTTAAAATCCACTGCTCACCAAGTCACGTGTGTCATCTGCATAATGTGACATTACTGTCCAACGTCTGTCTGAGCGCAGACTTAACCTGTGCCGGGCCTTTGCCCTTTCAGCTACAAGGTCTAGGCACGCCCCTTGGCTACCTGCAGACAGTAACCGCCCACACAATATGCAGCTTAGGCAAACACGGCGATACAAACCACCCAAAGGGACACAAAGATATCTACGTAGCCCGGTTCCCTCAATGTTGCACATATTGAACACCTTGGACTTATAATAGATTATTTTTTTATAATAGCTGTATATGTTGTAATAGTGTTTTATCTTATGTTTGTTGTAATCGTTTTTAGCTATATCATGTAATTTGTAACCGATCTTGTAACGCCTTAATTTTAACATAAAAGTGCAATAATCTAGTGCAATATTTGATGCTTATGCTTAAGTTATGTACATGTTAAATATATTCTACCTGTGTATCCCATTGTAAAAGCTGCCCAATTCAGCCTACGGGCTGCAATTAGCAACTTATATGTATGTTGTATGTATGTTCCTTTCGAAATAAACCAGTCTATATATACTGAAGCAGTGGATTGCTCATTCTTTGACAAAGACTGGTAAGCCCAAATCTCATTACAGTGTTGGGAAGTAACAGTTTAAACTGCTTCATATAGTGGATGCTACCGGAAACATCTGACCGTTTCCAACATCATATCCAGTTGCTTGAGTAACTGTTCTTTGGTGTTACCTAGATGGCTAACCTTCACCGATGTTACTATAAACAGGACAGTGGTACTATAAAGATGTGACCTGAAAGAAAACTTACCCCTGGTCCTCTGGATAAGCAGTCTTCAGGACGAGTTTTGCCATATCGTTCTCAAACGACATGGAGAAGTCAGGCGTGGGTTTCAGCACGCGGCTGTCCAGCAGCCATTCAATGTTAGGGTCTGGGTTTCCGACCACTGTACATGTGAAGCAAGCTTGTGAGCCCTCCACTGCGAAAACGTCTGCCAGAGTAGTCAGGAAGGAGGGAGGGCCAGGGTGAGCCGGCCTTCTGGATTTTTCTGGAAAAATTAGAAAACAAAACATTTTAACTTCGATGTTTGGGAGAAAATTGTTAAGGTAATTGGGAATCTCTAACTCTCTCAGCTTCACCCCTTCTTCCTGCATGCTCCACCTCTCAGGAGAAAGTCCCATACTGAAATCTTCTTTCCTAGAGCTACTAACATCACTATGGAACAAGCTTCCTTGTGAATGCTTCCTAAATGGGGACAACCTTAAGCTTTCAGTCTAGGGTGAACAAACATCTGTCTCTACAGTTCCTTAATGTAACCCAAAACATGTTAGTGGTTCGTATGAGCCTTGTTTTGAGGTGAAATTGAAGTAACTAAAAAAAAAGCCAGCCTTCCTTACCCTTGACCGTGAGACGAGCGTAGCAGGCCACCTGACCCAGCTTGTTTCCTGCCAGACAGCTGTACAGTCCCTCGTGTTTCTTACTGGCAACAGGAACAATCAGGCACATGGACTCTTCATCCTCAAACAGGAACTGGTACTCTGGGTCCTGTGTGATCTCTACCCCGTCTTTATACCTGCAGAAATAAACAAACAAAAATCAACAAACAAAAAACAACAAAACAGCCATAGTTTTGACTCTTCATCCTCAAACAGAAACTGGTACTCTGGGTCCTGTGTGATCTCTACTCCGTCTTTATACCTGCAGAAATAAACAAACAAAAATCAACAAACAAAAAACAACAAAACAGCCACAGTTTTGACTCCTCAAACAGGAACTGATACTCTGGGTCCTGCGTGATCTCTACTCCGTCTTTGTACCTGCAGAAATCAACAAAACAACAATGTTCATCTGTAACACAAGCCAGTTCTTGGTTGAGTTCCTGGGCCTAATGATCTGTCATTTCACTTGTGTGTCTTAAATCAATAGAATCACATGAGTCATCTTTGTGCCCAAACTCTCAGAGAAATTTTGCTTTTGACAAGATGTTAAGTGCACAACAATTTTACATTTTCATCACTGCATCTTTAGTCTAATTAGCTGTATAATTATCATTCAACAGCAACATTTTAGATAGTCAGGTTACTCACCAGGTGACCTCAGGTTCCGGCACACCTGTGACCTTACAGTCCATCCTGGCGGGGTCATCCTCCGTGACCTCACAAGGTCGGATCTTTTGTTGGAACTCAGGATGGACCATTGGCTCACCCTCCTCATCTGTCAGCTCTGGGAACAGAAATATCAACCTTTAACCTTTCACATTCAAACTTTAACCTCACAAGGTCGGATCTTCAGTTGGAACTCAGGATGGACCATCGGCTCACCTTCCTCATCTGTCAGCTCTGGGAACAGAAATATCAACCTTTAACCTTTCACATTCAACCTTTAACCTCACAAGGTCGGATCTTCTGTTGGAACTCTGGATGGACCATTGGCTCGCCTTCCTCATCTGTCAGCTCTGGATACAGAAATATCAACCTTTAACCTTTCACATTCAACCTTTAACCTCACAAGGTCGGATCTTCTGTTGGAACTCTGGATGGACCATTGGCTCACCTTCTTCATCTGTCAACTCTGGAAACAGAAATATTAATCTTTACATTCAACCTTTAACACTCAACCTTTAACCTCACATCACTAGATCTGTTGGAACTCAGGATGGACCATTGGCTCGCCTTCCTCATCTGTCAGCTCTGGATACAGAAACATAACCTTTAACCTTCAACCTGTAACATTTGAACTTCACTTCACTAGATCTGCAAACAGAAATGTTGGCCTTTGACATTCAACCTTCAACATTCAACCTTTCATCTCGCCAGTAACAAATACTACCAACAACATACTAAGTAAAGATACAGATATTTGAGTATCTGTAGTCCATCTACTCCAAGCTGCCCAGCGCATACACTTTTTACCAAGACAGCCCTCAGCACCAAGTTCAGCACCAAGGACATGGCCTGCACATGTATTACTTAGTATGCCAGATTCCAAATTGTGGCTTGTAGTTGGACTACATCCCTACCTTCCTCTACACTACAGGACATGCCAGGGATCAAACCTCTCATGTCCACTTCCATTTCAGCACCAAGGATAGCCTCCACAGACAAACTGCCACTATCATATCCAGATGCATGCCTACATGTATCTAGTCTTTATGCCTAGGTTAGGATCAGACTTGTACTCTATCCACATTCCAAGGGACTTGAAGAAAGAACACTTCAGTAAAAAGAAAGATGTCCCTACCTTCCTCCACCCTAAGCTCAGCACTACAGCTCACAACGTCCACAGAGTTGATAGCCCTGCATGTGTACAGCCCAGCATCTTCTCGATAAGCCTCCCTCAGCACCAGACAGTAGATGTTTCCCAAGAACTGCACTTTTGCCACTAAAAACAGCAAATTCTTCCTACCTTCTTCCACACAGAGCTTGGCACTGAAGGACACAACGTCCACAGAGTTGAAGCAATGCCAGAGATCAAACCTCTTGATCTGGTGTCCACTTCCATTTCAGCACCAAGGACAGAATTCACAGACACACTGCAACTATATTTTTGGTATCCAGATCCATGCCTATGTCTCGTGCCTGGGTTAGGATCAGGCCCATACTCTAGCCACTCAGCCATTCCAGAGGACTTCAAGAAAGAACACTGTTACAGTAGTAAAAGATTGTTGTTACCTTCCTCCACGCGTAGCTCAGCACTACAGCTCACAACATCCACAGAATTGATAGCCCTGCAGGTGTACAGCCCTGCATCTTCAGGATAAGCCTCCCTCAGCACCAGGCAGTAGATGTTTCCCTCCTGGAGATGCCAAGCTGGAGGTACTGGAAGTCTTCCGACTCCTTAATGGGGAAGTTGTTCCGCAGCCACATCACTGGGAGGAAGGAAGGAAAGAATGGATTATGGATGACAGAATGTGATAAGACAGTAGATGTTTCCCTCCTGCAGGAACTGGAAGTCTTCCTACTTAATTGGGAAGTTGTTCCGCAGCCACATCACTGGGAGGAAGGAAGGAAGGAAAGAAGGAGTTATGGATGACACAACATGCTAGCTAAATATACAGCTTTCTATTGTAGACTGTGACTGTTTCATCAAACAATGTAGACTGGAAGCTTGGAATTAAGTAGAGTCCAGATTTGAGAAGGAATACAAGCACAAGGGATGACAGGCAAAGGTTTTGATATGTCATGTCCTTTAGATTCCAAGTCAGCAACAAGAGGTACATCATGCCACTACAACCTTCTCTCAACAAAGATAGGGGGCACCACAGACTTACAATCCACTGTTCACCGAGTCACGTGTGTTATCTGCGTGAAATCACGGAAGCGGTGGATTGTTCATTCCTTCACGAAGACTGGAGTTGTACAGTCAAAAATTTGGGTGAGTCCCATCTTTTGTATTGGAAACAGTTTAAACTGCTTCATAATGACTTCTACCAACACAGATGTACTTTCAAGAAAACATACCTGCAGGTTTGGGTTGTCCGATGACGACGACCTCGAACCTTGTGGTTGTTCCCTCCTGGACCGTCTGGCGTAACATCCTCTTCAGAAACACTGGAGCTGTGTTTTCCTCGTCTTCACCGGCCGTGAAGTATGAACTGCTCTCCGTGTCTGAGAATACAGCAGAAAAACGATAAATGGTGTAAAATTCACTTCGGGAACACACCTAAACAGCCATGGAGTACAAACTGCTCTCTAAGTATGGAAATAAATGATTGTACTGTTTCTGTATCATGTACATCAAGGTGCATAATTATACATGTACATCCTGTACTGTCTTCAGGAGTGTTAGCTGACTCAACAGATGTGCATATAGCTAATAGAAAAGGCTTGATATCAAGCTTCACCTCTGATGAGGATGACTAACAACAACAACAGCAACAGATGTGTTACCCTGCTGTAATGGTGATAGTCCCTATATAGTGACTAATGTTACATATAGGGATCCCTGTGTCTAAACATCACTGGCTGAAACTGAAACAACCGACCAGACAAGGACCATCATTCTTCATCAATGAGGACCTTTAATTCATTAACTTAAATGTGTGCTACCAGTCTACAGGCATGTCACCTGTCTCTACAGGTGTGTAACAGGTGTATGTAGTAGAGGGGATTCATTCCTCAAGCTAACCAACATCTTGCACATGCAGTCGTCCCTCAGTAAGACACCTGGAGCCGCATAGTTCCCGTTTAGAACTTTTATTCAGCCTGTCACACAGCGTGTGTAAAAGGTGTATTTCCTATTCCTACAGGTGAGTTACCTGGCTTGGAGAAGGTTCCACTCCTTGGACTCGCTATGTGTTACCTGACTACAGTTTTTACAGTACCCGGTATGTTACAGGTATGTTACAGGTGTATTTCCTATCCCTGCAGGTGTGTTACCTGACTGCAGGTGTGTTACCTGACTACAGGTGTGTTACCTGACTACAGGTGTGTTACCTAACTACAGGTGTGTTACCTGACTCTGAGAAGGTTCCGCTGTAGTACTCCTCAGACTCAGAGTCCGCAGGAGACGACACGCCCGACATGTCGGAGCCGGTGGACCCGCGTCGCTTCAGGGACGTCATACGGGCCAGCGGGCGCTTTCCCTCCTGTAGAGGGGAGGAGTTTACACAGGTAAGGTAAGTCACAGTTATTGTTTGTTTTTAAATGGGTAGAGAAAGAGTTACAGACCATGCATTGTTTTTCGTGGAAGAGTTCATCTTTTGTCCCATACTTTACACGTTTGCCTTGGCTTGCGCATTTCTAAGGCAAGTGATTTTTTAATAGATCTGATGACAATAAAGTAGTGTTTTCCTAGTATATGTTAGCATCCGTGCCACATTGCTGCATGGTGCTCCCAGTATGCTCAAGGTCTCGGACCGGAGTTTCCTTCCGTATTTCGAGCAATTTGACACCCTCAGCCCGACGGGCTGTCATTTCTGTACTAAACGCGGGTCGGAATTTTTCACTCTTTTGGTGGAAAGGGGTGTCGTGCCGCTTATTAATACACTTGATTGATATTTTCTGCGCCCAATTTATTTAGGGGTAAATAAGGCACATCAAAGTACATTTTTAAATATGGGGTAATTTTTTTCGTCATTTTTAACCATGGCTGCATGGAAAAAAACAATTTTCCCAGGGTAACGGCTTAGTACTCGAAGAAGCTCAGAACCTAATGTTTCCAAAATTTGAATTTAATTAAAATCGATGCGATAAGTTTATCGCTATCTTCGATGGCCCGAACACACCCAGGACGCATATAGAACGTACCATCCCGGCAGTCAGGCAAAAAGGCCACATAACCATCTGCGCGGACTAATATCAGGAAGTCTTCGCTGGACCACCAACATTACGCCACCTATAAAGGCTACAACTAACAGGCTTTTCAGAAAATACAAATATATGTAGACAGATATTACGATTTCAGGGATATCGCGACTAAAACATACCATACAAAGTCACGTTTCCGGCGATTTACTGCGCACTTACTTAGACTCTGGTCAGATTTAAACTCCGACCCGGAACCTCAAAGTTGAAACCTTAGAAACGTTTGCACTATGAATTTAAAACTGTATCCAACAAATCTTATAAATGATAACTAAAGACAGTGTTGAAATGCCTCATATTTTTAAGACCTTGATCCATTTTTATATAAGTTAGGTTATGCTCAAACCTAGAACTTTCAAATAGAGAATTCCAAGAGATGGAAAGAAAGGTACAAATTGAAGATCTGCTTCATCGTGAGTCAGACTTACCGGTATGGTTGCCACCACCTCCTCTATCAGCCGACCTTTGACCTCTCCCTCCTGCGGAACCGGTTCTATTTTGGCAACCGGTTTCTTGACCTCTTCAGCCATGATGGTGACCTTGAAGGGCCAAGGTCAGAAGAATATGTTCTCAATTTTGTTTATCAAACAAATTTATCACAAAATTATTACAATCACAGTTATTAGGCCGCACCAATTTAATTTGTTGGTTCTCGGATTTTTTCAGAAAAAATATGAAGCGACAGGGCGGAAAAAAATAAAATAAAGACAGGTCTAGGCATCCTATTATAGCCCCAAATGCTACAATATGAGCCATCAAGTCACAAAAAGGCTGGGTTAAGATTTAAGTATAAATTTGA